TAGTCGTAGTCGTAGTTAGTCGTAGTCGTGTTAGTAGTAGTAGTAGTAGTAGTAGTAGCAGTAGTCGTCGTAGTAGTAGTAGTAGTAGTAGTAGTAGTAGTAGTAGTAGTAGTAGTAGTAGTCGTAGTCGTAGTCGTAGTCGTAGTCGTAGTAGTAGTAGTAGTAGTAGTAGTAGTAGTAGTCGTAGTAGTAGTAGTAGTAGTAGTAGTAGTAGTAGTAGTAGTAGTAGTAGTAGTAGTAGTCGTAGTAGTAGTAGTAGTAGTAGTAGTAGTAGTAGTAGTAGTAGTAGTAGTAGTAGTGTAGTAGTAGTCCCTCCAAGGCTCTGGGGAGCCTGTGGGCGGGGGGGCTACTGCTGCCCTCAAACCGCGGGTGACAGTCACCCTTCCTTTTCTCGCGCCCTCACTGTTACGAACACTCTTCCTTGCCCTGAAGGGGCGTCCTGGGATGGCGGCGGCCGCTGGCGGCGCTGCGGACGCAGGTGCAGGGGCTCGAGTGGCTGGGAGTAACGCCGTTGCGGGTCGAGGCGAAGGCGGAGTACTGGCAGCTGCGGGGGGCAGGGGATGTGCTGGGGCCGCCCCGTGCGCCTCCGCTGCCGCTCCCGCGTCGGCTGGCGTGAACGCAGCCGACATCCCCGTGGATGGCAACACCGACGTCCACATGCGTGACAGCGAGGGCCAGCCAGCACAGAGGCGGCGCCGCATGACGGGCGGACGCATCGCGCGTTGGTGCGTCAGCGCCCAGGCGGCCCGTGGCAAGACGGCTCACTGCACGCTCTGCATGGGAGGCTTTGAGGCTGGCGAGTGGCGCGTGGCAGGCGTCGTGACACCACCCGCGGGGTCCCAGGCGCACGCGGGCAGGAAGTGGTTCCACATGGCCTGCGTGGATGGCCCACTGCCACCAGCCACGGCGATGGTGGGATTTACTCAGCTCCCTGAGGGCGACAGGGACCGCCCTACGGCAGCCCTGGAGGCCCGAGGGGGCCCCATCGTGCCCCTGCTGGAGACAGTCGAAGGTCAGGCCCCCGCCCCTCCCACCCAGGGAGATGGCGCGGCAGGGGCACTGGGGCAGCCCCGAGGCCCCCTGCCGCCGCCGCGCCAGGAGCGTACGGCCCAGGCGCGCGGGGGACTCCTCTGGGGGCGGCCGAGGCAGCGGTGCCGACCACGGCGGACATCCTACAACCGCCACTCGACGTCCCTGCGGAAGCAGGCGAGGATGGCGGACTCGAGACAGGCGTCTACGACGACTACCTGGACGACCAGGTGACGAGTGAGGACGCGTACCGCGAGGTGGGCTTCGTCAACCTGGATTGGTGGGATGCCATCGGGTGGGGCCGCATCCTGCTCCAAGGTGCGCCCACCACAGCCATGATCCCCGACAGCATGGCGGCAGCCGCCAGCCACGTGAAGGTGCGGTTGTGCTTGGCAATTGAGCAAGCCCGCCAGGGCAACGACGCTCAGTCGTCGAGTACATTGACGAGGCTATGGAAGGCGTTCCTCTCGCTGGACGGACTGCTGTTCAGCGAAAGTGCGACCCCGACCCCGACGACGCGACGGGGGCGCCTCCAGGAGCGCCTGCGGTGGACCCAGGGCGGCCAGTGGGACGTCGCCTGGCTTTCCATGGAGGACCAGACGCGCACCGCGGTCACCGCGAAGGGCCGCGAGGATCACGTCGCAGCCCGCGTACGCCGTGTCACCGAGCTCGCACGAGCGGGAGAGATGTCTCGGGCGGCGGCGGCAGCGTGGCCCCAGGGGGACATGGCGGACGCAGCGGCGGTGGTGAGGAAGTTCAGCACCGCCCAACAGCCCGAGGCGCCTCGCCCAGGCGAGTGGCGCCCTCTCCCTGGCACTGGGGCCGCCCCGCGTGGGCCAGGGAGAGGCGCCGCAGGGGCGGGGGCCGACGTGGCGATGCCGCCAGCCGCAGCTCCCCACGAGCTCGACGGCGCAGCGGAACTCCACCGCCGTGTGGCCAACCACCTCAAACGTCAGTTTGGCCGTTTCCGCCGCCGTGGATGGGCGGGGCCTGGAGGGGGGCGCTACGAGCACTGGGCCCCTCTCAAGCACGACGAGGATGGGGCAGAGGCGGTGGCCAACGCGCTGGCTCGACTGGCCATCGGGGACCTCCCCCCCGGGGCGCTAGCCGCCATGGCGGCGGCGCTCCTCACGGGCATCCCTAAAGCAACCCCTGGGGATGTGCGAGTCCTGGGCTGTGGAAATGTCGCCCGCCGCATGGTGGGCCGCAGTGCCGCCAAAGTCCACCACAAGGACATGCGGACGGCGGTGGGGGACCAGCAGTTCGGCCTTGCCAAGGGCGGATGTGGTGCACTCCACCGACGCCTATGCACGATGGCCAACTCGAGCCCAGGCAAGTGGGTGGTGGCGGTGGACCTCGGGGATGCGTTCAGCAACATCCCCCGCGACCTGGTGAAGGAGGCCGTGCGCAGCAAGGTGCCTGCGCTGGCCCCGTTGGCGGAAGCCTGGCCCCCCGCCCGAACGCGCCACGTGGCGGGGGGCGGGTCGCAACCCGCCCAGCTGGTCGACCAGGTCCGTGGCCTCGACCAGGGCTGCCCGATGAGCCCAGGCTTCTACGCGGTTGGTACCGCGGATGCCCTCAGCATCGGCCGCGTGGCTGTGCGCGCGGTGGACATGGAAGGGGACTGCTTAGCCTTCCTGGGCGACGCGTACTTCGTGGGCACCGCGGCCGCCGTGTTCCGCGGCTTGGATGCGTGGCGCGCCCGCATCGAAGCCCACGGGATGAAGCTCAAGATGTCCAAGACCCAGATATGGTCCCCCGACGCCCAAGCTGTCCTGCCGCCCGAGTTTGCAGAGTGCGCCCAGTACCGTGTCCAGAAGCTCAAGGCGGTGGGGTCCACCCTGGCCTACGCGAACCACGACGTGGACACCGACTGGAGGGGCGTCCCACTCACGGACTTCGCCGTCCCAGAGGACCTCGATGAGGGAGGGCGCGGGCAGGCTGGCGGCGCCGGGGCCGCCCCGAGCGCCGCCGCGCCACCCCCCTGCGGCGAAGCCTTCCTCCAGAAGCAGGACCGTTACTTCAAGGAGCTGCTGACGCTTCGCGGACATGGGCTCTCTGCCTTCGACGCATTCCAGCTAATG